TCAAGCAACCCCACAGGAAGGATTCTTGTAATTAATTTCAAAGTGATATTTCAACTCTATCTGGCTCCTTAATCAATTTATAACTTTCTAAAATTGAGGTTCTAATCACCATTTCAATGTTCATTCCAAAATAAGAATCTTTTAATTGGTAATTCTCAGAAGTGAAATATGGAGTCCAGGATCTGTTTGAAGGCTCCAATTGAATCTTGGGCAAGAATGCAATTCTTCAGCTCCTATAATTCTAAATCCTTCAGAAACTGTTGTTTTACAGTCACCTAATGAGAAACTGGACAGCCATTTGTCCGAAATGGTATAAGGGTTTCCTGCCTGAGCAGGAGGTTGGACTAGATGACCTCCAAGGTCCCTTCCAACTTTATCATTATTATTATTATTATTATATATGAGTCATCCCAAGTCTTCTTCCTTATCCGGAAAGGAATTCTGAGAAGCTGATCTATTTACTAGCTCTTTGTCTGGCATGGTGACCAGCTCTACTGCCACAGAGCTATCTTCACTTTGCCACAAAATCCCAGGAAGTCACTAAAAACTTGGAAGCACAAGATTTAAAAAAAAAAAAAATTCTTAGAGTACTGCATTAGGCATGTTTGCCATCTTGAGTTATGCATAAAAATAATAAAGGTGGGATATAAATAAATAAAAATAAAATAAAAGTTAATACTATAAACTAAATATGTTTCTGTGGCAAAGTATAATGTTATAGCTGAATATTAAAAGTTTAATTTCTGAAACCTGAGCATGTGCTACAATCACTTTCCTATTTCCACTGCAGCAACCTTTCAATTATAATGTAGTATTAATCATAAACAGATGTTCAAGGCTTAGCATTACCTAAGATTTAATGCCTCACTGAGGTTTATTTCTGAAGTTGCATGACTTGTGGCAACCAGAAGGTAGAGGAAGCATCTGATGTAGCAATTTAGCACACACACAAAAAAATCACCGTCCTCTGCTTTAGACATTGCTTCCTCATGTGGTCCTTATATGACACATAAGTGATAAATCAGAAAAGGCAAACAAGAATGTTAGTACTTTTCAAAAATTGAAATAGGATCGCTTAGATCAGACATGTCAAACTCACAACGTCACGTGACGTCGCACAACATATCAGGAGAGTTTTGCCATTGCCGCCAATGGGGTGGGTGTGGCTTCCGCATGATGCGTTCAGCCCGCGGGGCAGCAGTTTGACACCCCTGGCTTAGATTGTCTATGCAATCAGATACAAGAAGGTAACCACTTTACAATTCTACTTAGATTGTGTATATTTACATAATATAGAAAACATATAGAAAATGGGACACAGAATCTAGTCCAAAGTTTACACTTGTCCACTGACTGATTTTGGTGGAAGTTTAAATATATTTATCAACTGCTTTATTTTTCTTTTGCATTGTCACTGTTATCTAGTATCAATGACACTGGCAGAATTTGGAGGTATGGTCAAAATGACATCATTACAGAAACTGTATGCACTCTGTATTATAAAATATGTTCCAAAGGAGTACAGTTTTTTTATATAATGCACATTTAAAAATTTGCCACATTTTATTGGATAACTAAGGTTTGGGGTATGTGTGTAGAGGAGAAATAAGAAGAAATACATTCAATGATGTTGTGGTATAAACTTCATCCATTTCATATTTGTATCATTATAAAAATACAAGTACTAAGGAGTGGAATTTGCATCATTTTGACAATTCCTGGCTTGCTATGGTTGTATCTACATAACAATTTAAACAATTGAGTGCTCCCCCAGAACACTCTTCTCTCCCTCAAATGCCATTAGTCTCCCCCCCCCAGTACCTCATTGCTTCCATCCTATCACTGGACAACGGAAATATGTAATATCACATTTTAGCACAGAAATAAACAGCAGAGAAGTTGCTACTACTACTATACCTTTAATATTATCACGAGAGCCGTAAAGAATAAATTTATTCCCCTTTTTCTAGAGAAGCATTCTTTTATATAGACTAATGCATGGATACATGATTCAGTATTATTATTATCTGGGAATTGAAAGTTTCAAAGGGTATAGAAAATACTCATAAACAAGTTTAAAAATAATTTAACATGCCATTTTGAATTCCTTTTAACATTATATACCTATATACCCATAAATAATAAGAATTTAGAGAACACAAACAAATCTTAACAGAATACCAAATAATAACGCACACTGACACACTGGTTAGAGACCATGTAGCATTCCCTCAAGGCAGTCCTGATGGTCTGAAATTATATGCTCCCTAGATGGGAAATTCAATCCTGAAGAAGAACTTAGAACTAGTAGACTAGAATCAATCATATCATGGAAGGAGGGATTTCTGGAAAGTAGCCTACCTTTACAAAAAAAATAATACAGGTCAAACATCTGCCAGCAAAAACACAAGAATCCTATCATTTGCTTTGCCTCTCAGACTTTAACTTCTCCTTCAACCCAGTTTACACCAGCTTTCAGACAACAGGTAGGGATCCCGATTGACTGTCCTCTTCTACCTGCACTTGGGGAAATTACTTGTACAGTTTAATCCTCCTTGAATAATGGGGTAGGAATTTTAGGATACTAAGTATGATTTTTTTTCTTACTTGAGTAAATCCATAACTGAGCAATCACTAAGTAATCAAAAGTAAGTGTCATAAAGAGTTCTGTGATACCCATCTGAATGATGCCTGGATGGACATTGGAAGAGCAGGTGGGAACCACTGTTCCCTTAAGGACAAATAGGGTATCCAGTGGCACACTACCATTGGAGTAGTGCCAGATTATATAAAGATGGAAACTTGATTTATGAAAATTAGTGAGCAATGTTAATAACTTTATCCCTCTAGGTGAATTTTCTATTATCAGTCTCTCCTTTCCAATCTATACTAATTTGAGCATGAACCTCTTTAAACTAGGGTAGCAATAAAACCTATTCTTAGAAGCCCTAATAAGGAAGCAGACACCTCCCTGTTTAACCCCAGTGAGAAAGCCGTGTGATTTATGATGGATGTCTCTGAATAATTTGTGCCGGAAATGAACACAGGAATTGAATTGTAACTTGGAATCAGTACCTATATAATTTTACAGACCGTATTTATTGATCTCTGAGATTGGTGTGCTCACTCAAGACACAGATGCTAGTATAGATTGAGAGCTGACTATTTCATCAAGGAAAAAAAATCATATTCAGCCTCTCAGCTGCATATTAAACACCTCAATTTAAAGGAAACAACTAGAGAATGCATTCTTGTGGGCATTATGGAAAGGAAAACATTACCATATTTCTATCAGAGGCATCATTCACAAATATGTGTATATAATTTCCAGCAACATATGAATGGGGATATGCAAAATGGGTTGAATATTTGGGTTATTTTTTTAAAAAAAAAACTGTCATTAAGAAAGGTTGAGAAATGCACCTTTTTATTAAAGCCATTGCAGGAGGAAAACTGTATGAAAACAAAAAAAATCAAAAGTCCAGTGATATTATTATGCACGGCAGAACATTACTTGTCACTTTTTTTAATGCAGTAGATTGTTTGCTGCATTATGTGATCCTAGCCATTTATACTTTATTTAATATTTAAGAGCTAACCAAGCTATTATTTAGTATGGTACATGAACTAAGCCATAATTTGATCATAAGCTGATCGTAAGAGTCCATTGGTTTCCAAAGCAGTCTTCTTACAAAAGAACAGCTGGTTGAGTCTGATTAGAGTCTAGATAGGAGATAAGCTAGAAATCTCATCTATTAACTAAACCTAGGTCTCATCTGGTTGACTACTAAGAAGACTAACACTTTTCTGCACCAGAATTCTGGATGAGGTTTGCATGAATTATAATGTCATGCATAAATTAATATTTTTATCTGAAACCCTTATGAGTATGGCTCTACCAGATAGCTATATGTTGTTTTTGAAGAAAGAATTATGTCTATTCATCCGGGGTTCCAAGTGCTGCTATAAAACAACACAATAGTAATAAACAAACAAACAAATAAATAAATAAAACATTCACAATAGTGGGCTATTCTTGACACTGAATAACTCACTGTTCATTGTGTATATTATCAATGTTCAAATGTATATTATCAATAGCAATGTTCAATGTTTTGAATCTATATTCAACTCAAAACTGCAAACATGCTTAACACCCCTACCTCCTCCTATCAATTATCCTGATTTAGATTATTACTCGATAATTAACTTGATTTAAACTTGGGATGAGATATTAAATTAATAAGCTTTTATTTGTCTGAGTCTGATTGTGATAAACTTCAAATTAATAAAGTATTCTGCCTTGAGCGATGTCAGGTTTAGGAATGAATAAAATGTGCTTTTAAAAAACCCCATTAAAATATACTGTTAAAAAGAATGTGGTGATTGCCAGTTCTTTTTAGTTCCAATTTGGGTCAATTTGACTTGTGCTCTTTTAAAAAATCCAAACAGAATGTGAGCAATTGTTTGATATTCAGAATTCTTGAATATCTCTGTTTTAGTAAAGTTACTGGAAACAGACATTTTGATGCATACCATTCATCTTTTCCTGAAGACTCAATCTCTCTCTGGAATCTTACAGGATTTATCTTGAAAGCCTAATCTCCTTTTATTCCAACACAATTGCATTCCAGTTAAAAACAGGAAAAAATCATATCAAAAGATTATGAATTTAGTTTATTATACCATAGCATTCATACATATTCTGACATGGGTTTGAATCAAGGCTCACAAAGTATTTGCTTAACATTATGTAAGTATTTGAACATTATATAAGAAACAACTGTCCATTTTAGACAACTAAAGTAGCTTTGACATGTTATTCAGCTGCCAAGCTTGACAGATATTATGAGCAGCTGAAAGAGGATAATGCTGTGTTCTCTTCCAAATTACTAAATATTTTCCCATCAAACCTCTCCATCAATGTATGCCTTTCTGAAAGATCCATTTGCTTGAAAACAAGTCCTATGGACTATAAACTCTGCGGGCTTGTTACGTACCAATTTCAGAAGCAGTGACTGTGATATTGTACCAAAGGGTTTCTTCTCTGTCAAAGACCTTAGCAGTCTTAATGGTTCCAGTGTTTGCATCAATAGTGAAGTATCTGTCTTCTGTATTGTAATCAATGAAATACCTAGGAACATACAAAATGAAAACATAAGTTTAAAAATAAGCATTAAGCATTCAACAGTGAGCAATTTCCTTAACTGTTTACATTTATATCCAGGGAGGGAGCCACAACCTAATCCTAGCATTTTTGCAAGTAGGTATATGGATGGTCTCCTGCAGTCTTGAATGATTAAAGCTGTTGGGATGGACAGTTCCTGGTTAGCTTGACCAATGGCTTCATTCAGTTTGTGGAAGCAATAAACACAACACTTCTGGAATCAACAGCCTGCCAGAAAGATCATTTCTAACATTGCTTCATTGCATGTATCTTTCCAAGCATGCAGACTGGCTGAATTTATGTACAATAAATATTACAGTTAATCTTTAAAGCTGTGAATTGGTTCTGTTTTTATTTGGCATCAGCGCAACAAGTATTGCTTCTGTTGGAATAATGCTTCAATGCTGTTTTGGTTGTATATTATATGCATATTTACTGTACCTATGAGGTTGTTTCCTTTCAGATAAACATTTTTTTTTACCATTTCCATTTATCATTACCATCTTCTAAGAGATACCATCCATTTAATCATACTTAATTGGTTCAAATAGAATTAACATGTGTTAGTCCAAATAAAGGAATGAGCTAAATTACAGCATGTGTATGAAACTGCAAAATAAGACATACATGTTTTAGTTCAGGTGCCAATTCTTGTTCATTTTTTTTATGAGGCCTTGAACCATAAAAGTTATTTTGTTAAGTGAACAGAAGGGATGGATTTTTCTATGGGCCTTCTAGTTTACTCCATTATGTGTTATACTGTTTCTGAAATCTAGTCAAAATAGGGGAATTTCTAAAAATTATTCTGGAAATAAAGAATGCAGAGTTTCCTGGAGGTTTCTCTCTTATTTTTCTCTGTTTCATCTCTAGCTCTTCCTCTCACTTGGGTTACAAATCTGCATAATAATAATAATAATATAGTGTAGTGAGTGCACAACTATATTTTTCATGCAGATTAATTTAAATCTATGCATATTTTCCTATAGATGCATAAGTGAATTCATGCTTAATATACAAGACTACATAAAAAGGACATGGATAGAACCATATGTCACAGAGAAGTATTTCTGTAAAAATAAGATATTATACAAACTGTATTATGATGCACATGATTTTGAAATACAGTACTACAATCTTGCATGTTTAATAATGTCATGTAAGGGTCTGCACATGAGACAAATTAATGTCTGAAAAAGTACACATATAATAGGATTTACAGATAAAATAATTAAAATTGAAACTTTTTTGATTGTATAGTTACAACACTTAGAAAACAATGCAAACTTGTAATCTAGTTTGGATATTATAAACTTAAGAAAGTTGTAGAAATAAAGGTCAAACATGAAAAAGGTGCAATAAATATTAGGAGTGAGATATGAGAAACTGGAAGGCAAGAGAGAAGTTATCAGGAACAGTGATCAGAGTTTATCAAAGCATTTTTGTTGTTAGTTGAGAAGTCATGTCCGACCCATCGCAACCCCATGGACAACGTTCCTCCAGGCCTTCCTGTCCTCTACCATCTTCTGGAGTCCATTTAAATTCACACCTACTGCTTCAGTGACTCCATCCAGCCACCTCACTCTCTGTCATCCCTTTCTTCTATTGCCCTCAATCTTTCCCAGCATTATGCTCTTCTCCAGTGAGTCCTTCCTTCTCACTAGGTGGCCAAAGTATAAGGAGAAAGGGGAAAAATTTTAGAGATACTTTAAAGATGCAATGATCAGCATTCAACTGTAGATGAATAAAGACTCAACAATGACTGATGAATCAAATGTAATCCCCATGGTTATTCAACTGGGCAAAAGAACCATCTATTATTTCTAGCAGAACTGCTAGGCAAATTAAGAGAAAAACTGTGAGATTTTCAAAAGGACAGACAAGCCCTAAGTTTAGATCTCTTTAACTGGTTTAGAAAATGAGAAAAAAAGTAAGATAAAATGACAATTTGCTAGATTATGATAACAGATAGTCTGTAGCAGAATATGTTCTAGAACCAAATGACAGTGCTGTGTATCAGTTACAGAAATGTAACATTAAATCCAATGTAAAATATAGTAGTAATAAAAGTTTAAGATTGTTGAAAAAAGAAGGCTTCTAGTATATATATTCTTTTTTTCACAAGTATATTTCTCTGAGTCAGATCACAATGTGGCTGTTATAACACAAAAACATGACCATAGGTATCATTTTAGCTGCATAAAATGGATACACACAGACACACACACACACACACACACACAGAGAGAGAGAGAGAGAGAGAGAGAGAGAGAGAGAGAGAGAGAGAGAGAGAGAGAGAGAGAGAGAGAGAGAGAGAGAGAGAGA